GCATTTGAACAGCGGAGTATGCCCAAAGAGTGGGAGGAGAAATAAGCAAAATCGGTAATGCCCAATTAGACAGCCACATGACGTATGGACTATTGAATCCGGGCACATCAGCGGCTCTGGAGTAGAAATCAAACGTAACCTAAACAACTCTTCCTAACGATTAGCATCATCCAACCCGCTTCTTCATTATACAGGGGATTTCGTCGCGCAACAAGCAAATGAAGAATCGAAACAGGTAGCCAGTGCTACCCAGANCCCAGATTTTCAGTTCACGCTTCGTTTGCTCTGTACACAACGAAATTCACCTATCCCTATCGTTTTTCCTAATACATAAAGCAGCTGTTTGATGGACAATCACATGTTGAACACCTCGATGAATAATACATGATAAATCATACATCGAAGAAGCCTATATCGTTAGCGCCAAATTAGTCTATTTTTAATCCATGTTGGAATCGCACTCTGAAAGCCAGGTAAGAAACACGGAATGTTATGAAAGCATCGATGAAATGAAAATAATAAATAGACGGAGGCAAAATTTTCGAAGACAAGGCTGTGAGTATGACTTCCTAAACGGATGTTTCAGGATAATGTATCTTACAAAATGATATGTGAAACAGAAATCGGTCTCATTCGGTTTGGAACCTTCGATGCCCATATTATTCACCGGAAGGACGTTTGCTGAGTAACGCATTTTAAAGGTGGATAATAAATGGAAACAAGTTAGATTGAAAACCTAGTGTAGTGAAACTGTTTGTAAAATAGACGTTTAGGTAACGAAGGGGACCCAGTAAGCTTCTTTTGGAAGACCTGAAATGATCTGATCGGGTTTCAACTTACCAAAATGATAGGGAATACATCTTGTCGCTAAGCTTCCACTGACTTTTGGCCCAGTGAAAAGAACAGATACCCGAATAAAGAATGATACTAGGTGAGCGCACCTTTATTTGGGTTCTACAGCCGGTGTTATCTAACAACACAAAACTACATGGGATTCTTAACACCCATCAAACACGGTCCGATTTGGTTGTCATGCCGACAAGTAAAGGATAATATAAATGTTGCAAACGTATACAGGGACAGTTCTGNTCTGATCGTCTAGTTTAACTTTCTGTATTTATCACTGCAACAATGACAATTTTTAACCAAGTGAACAGAAACAGAAGAAATTCCGAGACGAATATTTAGAGCGTTTCACAAGAACAGCTAAGTTATTCAGTAGCATTCGACTCCTTTCTCTGTTCTCCTTCGTATGTTGGAATGTTTCAAACAGGAAATCAGCAAGCTAGCTCTTTTCGTGAAACGCAAATGTATGGATGTTTCCACTGAGCAGCCATGAACATTACAGATCCATCAAAAAGCTCCGCAATTGACAATTAGGAGTGGTGAACAACGATAAAAATCCCAGGACATCCAATACGGCCTCATACTGTTCAAGCTAGGCATCCTCCAATAAGCATCGTGTTACATTGTTGAACTTGGTCGTGCATAGAGTAAATGAAACGTGAACTGAAAAGCTAGGATGCACTGTACCGCTGTTTCGACCTGACTGGATCTCATCAGCAGTTCGAATCCATCCATGGGGATTGAACCCCAGACCTCGCAGGTGTAATGCAAGCATACTACCCCCTAGACATTGGGGGTAGCTGATTAATCCGTAAAGATTGGTTGTGCTCTATCGTGTAAAAGCAAAATGAAAAACATTATGTTATGGCATCAGTGTCTATTTTGATGAACTTAGAATGTACCAGCAAACACAAACTGATTTTTCTCCTAAAGGACCTAGTGAAGTCATCAAACGGATACCTCGGCCACGAGACAGGTGTTGGATGAAAATCCCACTCAAAGACACCTCCTTCAAAGTACACAATATCCCTTTCTTTCTTAATTGCTTTTTCCAAAGCACACATGGAACCGGATATCATGACTCAAATGGTATATAGTATGTTATTGGTGAATGCTTTATTTAGATCAGGTCCCCTTCTCCACTTAGGCACACAGTTTATCTTGGAAAAAAAAGCAGTGGTTTTGACTCTTGGGACATAAACCAGACTCCATTCAGAATTCGACTATGCGTAGCATGACTGTGTGATTCTGCACAACTCAATAGCAATAGAAACGTTTGTCTATGTAAATGCTGATTGATGAACTGCCCAATTGTTTAATCCATTGGTTGATTGTTTGTTTGATTGATTGGTTGGTTGATTGAGTCATATTCTTAGAGAAAAACAAATTCCACATCACTTTACAATAGCTTCAATAAGTGAGGTTAAGATGTGCTCCTCTTGTCCCTGGAACTTTCAACACATAGATGAGAAACATCTGGAAGAACAGAAAGGCACTTCGGAGGAGCATTTTTGATCCTCAGCGACGATTGTTTGGTGTTAATATATACAGATCATGTATTGTTGCTCACAAAACCATCCTTTCACATAAGGGATGGTAAGTCACAATACAGCTTTCTTCTCAGACTTACTGGACTGATACTCACCACATCCGGTGTGTATATCATCAGCTCGATTCTGATCCTCAAACTGCCCCATTCGTATGTCTTCCGTGCTTCACATTTGGATATAACAGTGCTACGATTAAACGCACTTGTATGCGATTGACAATAATAAACTTTCCACGTGAAACCGACTTGATAACTTGCAGCGTTGGTCGGAGATCAGAACATTAATCGTTGTATCAACCATAGCAATAAATGGCCGTAATGCGAAATCCAAAGTACAACTGATCGACTTCGAAGAATTTAGCCACGGTGAGAGATATCCACAGATTAGGTCGTTTTGATGCCTGACATGAACCTATCATTATAATATAATACTATATGTCAACAATTAAGATGACAGTGAAGGCCTTCGTGAAAGTTACAAAATTCCGGAACACTACGTGAGTGAAACGTTTATCGACTGGAAAAATGTAAAAGCCCAATACAGATCAATAAACTGAATTTATCCAACGCACGAACCCGGTTCCCATGTGGCGCTGAGCGCGTGCGGCCGATGCGCTTGGACCAGAGCGTGCTGTTTGCGCATAATCCGCGACCACGTCATCTGAATCGTTAGTTTCATCCAGCTCGTCGTAAGTCAAAGTGCGATGAGGTCCCGCTCGTGAATCCCGGCGACTGCGGGCGTGCCGCGCGAGGTGTTTGGGCTGACCACCAGTAGCCACAACCAGGCTGGCGTGTGTACAGGCTTGTCGAAGTCGAGTAATAAGGTACACTAGACGCCAGTGCACTGTCCCGGGGAGACTAGCCAGAGGTTGATCCGGCGATATGGACATGTTCTGCAGTAATCGTTGCAGTGCCCCAATAGACTGAGCCAGGACACGGTCGTGAATGTATCGTTCGACGGGAGTAAAAGAGACCCTGAAAGCGATAAAAAAGCGGCAATGACGTTGGATCAGAGCAGAGAAAGATTTACCGCGTCAGGTTAGAATTGCCAGAAGATTCGTTCAGAAAAACAAAATGGTGATACCTCGAAAAGCTCAATTGATTGACTCCTATACTTATAGGTCAAGTAAGGAAAGCAACGCGAGAATGCTGTGGCTGAAAACTAGTTTGAACCAGATTCGCATCACAATTTATTCCGAAAAGATACACCTGATCATTTTCCTAGCAAGGATTAAATGACTGTACAGTATCTCAGTAAACTTTTAATGATTTTACCTGATACCACCCACCAATTCCGATAAACAGGAGAAATCGCTACAGAAAAACATTGAATGAGAAGTCAGCACTGTTGCAAACAACCTCAAGGAACGTGTTTGGTTCATTCAAGAATTTGATGAAACACGACGAATAATCCCAATCATATGCAGATACTTCAAATCAAGTAACATACCACAAACTGTAACAATGAAATTCGGCCCTGGGGCGATTCTAAGGCAGATGGTAGCATCGCAATTTGGCCCTGATTTCAGTGCTATACTGCACTGAAGGAACTCTTGGAGATACTGGCTCAGCTTCTAGAGTTTAGGTCACTGGTTATCATAAATCAATCTGTAGGTTCTAATGACTACGTTTCAGTAAATAAAATGCTTCTGATGGATAAAATCACCCGACGATACGTCAACAAAACATCTCCGAAACACTGCTCTAAAATTTTTTTAAGCAATGGGTAGAAAATCATACACAACGGTTGAGAATAACTGAGAATATGCACTAATGAATCCGTAAATCTACAATGAATCAGCTTGCGCATTCGGAAAGAAGCATGGAATAGTTGATCCTAACAACAACCACTATTTCACCTCACTAGTGAAAATTGCTGTTCACAGAGGGACAGCATAGCTCATTCACCCGTGATTCTAAATGCAATACTCATTCTTGCATGTGTCACAAGCAATGAAGATGTCACCTTGATTGGTGATAAAACGTTTGCGAGCGAATTGCCAAGCTCGGCGAACAGGCAAAATGGAATTCCGATAATTTATCTTAAATTCAAGGTCTTCGAAAAATATCATGTCAATGTAATCAACTTCTGGTTCTTTCTACGTCGTCGTTTACGTCAAGAAGTTCCAGCGAACGTGTTGACATAGAGGCGCTTGCTCACTAAATACCAGTTAAGGTACATCCACTTCCCGGTATTGGGGGAAACAGGTATACTTTTCTTATCTACTTGGTGCTTTATTTCTGATAGATAGAGACCAAAAACGTGATTTGCCCATTGTCCGGATGTGCGGTTGGAACCCGGCCGTATATAATCGAACGTTTGCGTGACACCAGTTTTGGTACTGACTAATATAGGTTTGCTCACTGATCGGCCTTTTCTACTACACTGACGACAGCGAAGCTGCTTGTTATCGAAGTTGGACGGCAGCCGCGGGGTTCGAACCTAGGACTTTAAAGCAAAAAGCACGCCCGGGACAGTGACGCAAACTATCTGGTTACCACTATCCGCAAGTGAGATGAGCACACAGGATTGATGGGCACACTGAACGTTTTACGTGATTCTTTGAGCGTGAATAATGAAGCAGCAGCAAACCGATATGACTTTTGAAGTACTTGTAGTTATGGGTATCTTTCGATTTTGTTTACTCACCAGTGCAGTTGCTCTGTGATAGGTGGCAAAATGAGCTGATTTCCAACTAGCAGTTTCGTATTACGCCACAACATCAAGCTCAATACAGAAGCCAACCGAGATGACTGCACCGTTTTCCGATTTCCCTCGGGCGCGGGGGACTGAATGGTGCTTGTTGGGTTGTTGGACTGTATGGCCCAAGAGGGCGCCGCGGCAGCCAAAAACGGTTGATACAACAAAGACTTCCAGTAGTGGGCAGAACCGAACGGTTCGAAGCGTAGAAAGGCGAACAAGCCGTAGAGATCTGCAAGATAAAATTACCAAGAGATGTACGTTTGGTCGGACTGTTTCAAATAGATAGCACGCTTAGCGCATATATACCAACTTTTAAATCCCAAAATGCACTGTAAGTGGTGATCAACGGGTACCCCTTGATTTAAAACATCTATGCTATAGAAGCATTGTGTGACTCGTACGTGAAGCCAAAGAGTTTCAAATGTCCATTTCTTGTGACTAGAAATCTTACTTGTTTCATCTTCATAGTCATCCACTAAATAACTCGTTTTGTTTAAAAACCACATAACCAAATTCACACATAAGCAGTACAACTGTAGTGGACCCACCATCTCTATCATACTGGAGCTAAAAGCTGCATTCGACTCACCTGATCGTAGTGAACTCTAGTGCTACCTATCAGCGCAAGATATGCCGGAGAAGTGTACTTCAAAGTTACGATTACTGTCTACGAATAAACGAAGGTGAGTTCAAGCTTACATAATAGATATCAGACACTTGACCGTAACCGATTCGTCTGACACGGTTTTGATTCTAATCTCATATCCAACGTAATGATCGTTTTCGCTTCCTCGTGCCCATTGGTCACTTTCGAAGTATGAGGTGGCGCAGTGTCAAATTAATTATGATTAGTCATGAATGATAATTTTTTAAAAATGAGTGGAATTTAACACCTTCCTCCAAACAAGAAAACCCTAGGGAAGACATATGGCAATGTCAGATCCAGTCTTTTCAATGCCACTGTCATTCATTCGACCGAGTAATAGGCAGTAGTATAGTCTTTCTCTGCTTTAATCATGTCATCCGTCCAGTGTGAAGCAACCGACCCCGAATGTGGGATTCCTCGAATTTTAGGCCGTCAGCGACAGACGATTTTAATGCAATGAATGGATGTAACTTTTCCTGTTTCCCCTTGATTTTCTTCAGATCATAACATTTGTTGTTAGGTTTGATTATAAAAGTTAAGAAGTTGATTGTTTAGTTTGTAAAACACAAAAATATTAGCTTGTCAACGACCGACCATCTAACCACAGGACTTGGAATGAACAAGCCATGACAAAGGGAATTCCCAGATCAACACAAAGTACGAATGCGTAAAGGTGGATGTAGAGTTTACCTGTTTTGATGAAAGGCAATTGAAACTCTACGGTCGACACACAGAATACACAGCCTAACTATTAATTTTACTTAGATAGCAAACGACAAGAATACAGTGCTATCGGTTCGCTTCTATATTTTCAGTGTCTCAAAACAACCACGTTCGGAGTCTTTTGGACCCAAGCCTGGGAGAGAAAACACCTACTCTACCTAATCATTGTATGCACCTCTTCGTGCTTCGTCTCTACATCATCTAACAGCCTTTGTGTGATTTTCTCCGGCCTGAAACTGAAGTCTAAATTGACGAACGACAGGTTTGTTTCCGGGGCACCTTATCNCCTTATCGAAGCTTTTGATTCAAAAGCCGGAAGAGCAAGGCAGTAGGGCACAAATCCAACGAGGTGAAGTGACTCAAGCATCCGTGTGAGCCTTATACAAACCTGTTTCATACAGCCTTAGACTTTCGGTTTTATTCTCTGCTCGTTGGTGCTTTGATTATCGGTTCACCGTTCTGAGTCTCCTGCACTTAATAAGACAGGTGGAAGGCGGACGAGACAGCATCTTACTGAGCGGAGGCCGTCCATTGGGAGGGTGTCAGGTAAACAGTTCCTCTTAGTGTTTATTCACTGGAGTGATCTATCCGGAGGAGAAATTGAATAGTGAAAGGAAAAGTTAACTAGTGCTTAATCACCCAGCCTTTTAAAACTGAGCTTTGTCCAACCTTTACCTGTTGCTCTATCAGGTATGATTAAACCTATGACTGCGAAAGACATCCTGTTTAGCTACTCCGGTCGTTAAGGTGCGAAATCGACCACATCGCATCAAAACGCGTTCTCGTCATGATGCTGAACGTGAACTAAAGTGACTATTAAGATAAGGTTGATAATGTTGGTGTGTTCAATAGTTCTCAGAACTTACCGTCAATGCTTCTTTCTGCTGGTGTGCCTGTCACGCACCATCGATGAACCGCGTCTATTTGAAACAACATGCGAGCAGTTTTCGAAGTAACCCGTTCGACCATTTGAGCTTCATCCAAGCAAACCTTTAAAATCGTTGAACAAAATAATATGAAAGTGGGCACAGTAAGTAAAAGTTATGCTGTGATACGGATACGTTGTGGTGTTTGAGACCAGTGAATGGAACACTCTTTTCGTACAAAGATAGCCAAATGGTGGGTTTTGACTGGTGCAAAAATTAAAACTTATAGCATGCCTTTTATTGAATTAGTGGACGGCAGTCCTTTGACCTCGAAATGAACGTGTCTGAGAAGTGGGACCCTGCAGCAGAGAAATGGAGGGGGTGGAAATTATATACAATAATGTCCATTATATATATAATCTTTATGAATAGGTCCATGATTTGCTACTTTTCCGTGATTTCTTTGCGCGTGTTGCGCAACGCTGAGAGAAACGCCGCGGCGGTAAGACCATGACATGACATAGAGGTATGAAGCAGGTAGCTTCAGCTGTGGCTTCGGTAGATGCAGTCTGTTTTCCTGTTATAACCTGTCCGATTATAACTCCGGATTTTGACTTTTCGTACTTTCACTTCAATGGGAAAGCAGTGATAGGGGAAGGTAGTGGGTGGGGTCTACTCACTAGAGGCTATTTCGCACATTTAGTAGTATAGGAGCACTTCGTGAGGTGTAAGGTAAGGGCGAGCAGACACGACCCAAGAAGCCTATTCCCGAACACACCAAGGCTTTTAATGATATAGAAGAGATCTGGTAAATCGAGGGGGACAATCAAAATAAAATGGAGCAGAGAGATGGAAGTTAACAAAAGGTCAACAGCGTGGATGCACTGGTCTCTGTGGGGTCAGAGTCTGGTATGACAAGTTATTTTAGATGACAAACGCTGCTGCTGTCGCTCTATAATAGGCAGCATTCAATGATCCTCTTTGTCACCGTTGTCGGATATCTACACGAAACAGTGACGCAGGCAAAGATACCATGGCATACATAAGTTCGCTTATTTGTTCTTTATTGTAGTAAGGTTTGAAGTAAGCAAGGAAATCCACCGCTCCCCAAACTGAGTTACAGCAATGTTAACGGATACAGAACTGAAGGAAAGGAAATTTATAGAAAATAGAATCCTGACTGAAAATACTTCTCCACTCATTTTCTGAATTCCTGATGGATTTGTCGGGTCATGGGCACCGTGAAGAACATCCTGATGAATTCATTCCTTTTTACGTGCTACTTGTAAGTAGGCAAATCAGTTCTGCGGTTATTCTGCAGACCAACATTAGGATATTTTACCAGGACAAAGTTGCTCGTATTTTCTGTGGGACAAAATGATATCAAGCATTTCTTTCTTTCAGCTGCAGGATTAGAAGGGTGATTTCCAACAGACTGCTAAATAGAGCTGAAAAGATCACATTTTCGCTGAAAGGCACCAAAACAAAATACTAAGCAAATAAAAAGCAACAATTGATATAATTAGGAAGTTCGCAAGAGGACGTGCAAACATTATTTACTGTCAATTGGAAAAAAGAAAGGCGTTGGCTAATTTCAGTTGAAGTTAAACTTAGATGGAAACACCACTGCCCACTTTTCCACTTTGGTAAAATACATATATGCTACATTTTGACCATTTGATTGAAGGGTTTACATTCGGTACAACGGAAAATTCATCCCAGCTTAGTAAAACCACGGATATGGTAGCAACTGGCTAGGTTTAATTTATTAGTTCGTGATGTGTAACAACAAACTTAATGAATTCAAGTCATAAGCACAAACGATAATTAGCAATCAATTGATAACTAAGAATGAGTCCATTTGTGCTTACTCTCCACCACCGAAGGCAAGTCAGTGGACTGGGTCGACATATGTAGCGCTGAGCCAACCGCAGTTGAGGTCGATCACCCACACCTGCGCGTCGTTCGGCAATTACCTCGGCCCAATCCAATTCTCGCTGAACAACCGAGTAGGACGTGAGAACTATATCCGCACAGGCCAGTTGACACGGTTGAACGAACCCAGGCAGTAGCTCGTCTACGTCGTCTTCTCGCTGTGAGCTATTCATGAGCCGTGCAGGAACACGAGTACGTGGCGCATAGGGATTGCTTTTGGATTGCACACCCGGTGCGGTAGATCGAACACCCACTTCCACGGACGTGACTGGAGCTTCCATGCCCGCATAAAGCTGAAACAGGACGCATAGCGAATACAACGATCAAATTCAAGAACAAATAAAAGGGTAATGAGATAAAACGGTTATTCGTGTCTCAACTGACGCCTTCATCAGATTACACTTACCAAGACATCCACAGAATTATGTACAATGTGTGTTTGTAATTCTTCTTTCCACTGCTGCCAGATATGATCGGGTGCAACAATTAAAGTTGCCTTGGAATCAACTCGAAGCTAAACGGAATGAATTGGACAGAAGATGAGCATAAACGATTACGCCACAAGATCCAGGAATATACGGTGCGAAGTTCCATTTCTTAGCATTGGGTGCTTCAGGAATCAAATATGAGAAGAAATTGTGCGATGCTTGAATAACGAGACAAAAACTACCGAGTACACCTCAAAACATGATACTAAGCAAGAAATTTCAACTTAACAGAGAAAACAGGAATGAAGCTAATGTGTAATGAATCTTCAAACAAACCAAGGTTAGAACATAGTACGAAGCGACGAATTCTAATACGAGAAGAACTGGTATTTTTATTTATTTTTTGATTACACACTATCGTGCGATGAACGGCAGAAGGGATTAACCTCATACTTGCTGCTCAGTCATGGAGACCGGTCACCTGGGTAACGGGATATAGAGTAGCAAATCACATCAGACCCAGCTAGTATATGCGTGGTATCCTTCCGGGAGACATGTGGTTGTCGACCATTGAAGTTGGATGACGGTGGCCGGGTTTAAACCTCGGAACCTAGGGCCCAAAGCATGCCAGCGCTAATGACTTAAGCCGATTCAACACCGCCCGAAAATCATTCATAAATTGAGGATTCTTGTAGCACTTATGAATAAATTTTATACTGCATGCTAACGGGACCATTCCATCACACTGGTACTTGTCTGACTTCGTCGTGTGAATGAATTTGACTTAAGTAAGGATATCCACCGATGACCGTCACGAACAACAGCGACGCCCGTTCCGAATAGTACAGTGGTGACTAGCCACATATCTGACCCCAAACGAATCTGTACAGAGCGTACAGATGAAAACAATAATTTAAAAAGCTATTCCTCTTCACAGTCAGGATTTTTGTAGAAATTAGAGTGAAGGAAGGAACCTCATCAAAACTTGTCGCTAGGGTCAACGATTAATTACCTGACTCCAGCAACTGGGACAAATGTATCCGTACTTCACCGGGAGCCGACTAGAATAACTATCTGGGTCATACTGAACACAGGTCGTATGTTGCCAGGGCCCATGACAACGCACACATTGCACGACAGCAAAATCCCTTGTCTCATCTACATTCCCACAAGAACAGAGTACGTGAAGATCCATATCCAGAGTATCGGGAGTATCAGGTCTGTCTTGATTGGACTGAAGCACCGGCATCTGGTGAAATATCTCTCCATCCAAATTTCGAATGGTACCACCAGTTTCATTCCAGTCGGGGCAAGGACGTTGGAGGATCAGAGCAATTACTTCCAACGTTTTGCCTAATCCCATTTCGTCTGCCAGAATGCCACCTAGGCAGGGATCTGGTAGAACTGGAAGCTCTTCAATAAATCTATTTGGACAAAGGAGGAAAGCAATTGCTTGTACAATGAATGACTATTTACATAAAGTGCATGCAAAAAATCAGCACTTTTTCTACATGTGACCTAATTAAACGTCAAAAAGAAATTATGGCATCCCTGCTGAACTTTGACGTAAAAGAAGGGAATACACGTTATAAAAATGTTGTGCAACAAATCATATTTCATATTACACATATTTCAAAAATGATACTAAATGCAGCCTTGAGATACAGAAGACAAAATTATGACAATACATCTCTCAAGACATCCAGATATAAGACACTGCGAAAGAATCAACTACCATTATTACAAAGGTCTACCTCGAAGCGAAAATAGAGAGAAATTTCGATTCTGAAGCTCGAGGTGAAGATTCACATAACATGGCAGATAGAAAGGTAGTGTAAGGCACCAAGCGAACTGCTGAACCATTCTTAATCGCTCATCAAGATCAATGAAGAAAAAGAACATGTGTAAGGCACAAAGGAGACTACCCGATATTCTCAGTCGAGCCCAGACATTGCTTAACTGATTGTCACACTAGGCACGCGTAGTATTGCGCGGTTAAGAGCAACATAGAACAGAACCTCTACAAAAGAGTGAATGTCCCAGGAATGGCATTAATCTCGAAAGTTGACAAAATTCAAGCAGGATTTCTTGCGATAAAGGGACACTTTATCAGCAATTTGGCGGTCGTGGTGAAATGGTTAAGATCATCATAATAGCAGCCCGATGATAAAATCTAGCCACTACTGCCAATCGGTCCTGTTCCTGAATTTCCCCAGGGGACCACAGTGTCAAAAAGTTGGCTGTACAACTGTATACTGAATAAAGAATTGTAATCAATAATCTGTTATATCACGATACATGTAGCTGTCCAAGTTGAAAAAATCAACTTTCTTGTCTCTTTCCCTATCATCACTGTCATCGTATAGCGGGATACAGTGAAAAGAATTTCGATGATCGCTGACAAGCTTTTAATGTATAAAAAGAGAGTGAGAGTACAAGATGGATATGGTTTGGACCTAANACCTAACTGGAGAGAGGCAAAGAAAGTGCACAAGCATTCTGGCCTGATGAGGAATGAAAACAAGGACACAACTTCTGCCGGTTAGTTGCTATATCCTTCAGTGTCAGCAACCAATCAGTTGTAGTCTTCCGGACATCTACTCTACCTCTCTTCATGCCTCATTTCATGTTACCTGCTAATCTCCACGTGGTTTCCTGCAACCTGGAGCTGTAACTGCGAATAAGGCGCGGAGGTAGACAGCATCTGGTCATACGCAATANCAGCGAAGCAGACTAATCTGAATTCTACGTGATAAGGAAGTTCCCACCGAATCATTACTAAATACGCGATGACTTACTTTAGAGTTTTTCACACGCTTGTTCCATCAACCCGCGCCAAAGTCGAAGATTACCGGACGACAAATATCTTCCACGCGCAAGCTAAGGGCCTCGCAACCATAAAGCAGAATCGACCGCACATTGGCGCAGTGTGCACGACCTTTCAGTTTCAGTGCAACATCACGTTTGCGCCAAAGGTGTTACAGTCCTGCGTAAACTGCTATAGTCTTGGAATTGCCGGCGGTTACTTCCCTGACTGCGCTACCGTCATTTCTCACGCAACTACGTATTTAGGAGAAACAATCTACAATAACTAAGTCTTTACCATCAAGCACCAGCGCCGGAGTAGACTACACCCAATCTTGTAGCATCACTTTGCACTTCGAAGGTGCAAAGTGCATGCCGAAAGGAGTTACAGAACTTGAAAGTCTGTCAAGAGTGCTACGCGCATCCTCCATACGTTCGAAAAGATGAACGATATCGTCAGTGTACTCCAAATCGCACAGTTTTTCTCCAGCTGCCCACTTAAAATACCAACATTTATAAAACCATTTAGTACGTTCTCCAATGTTTTATTTACGACGAAGTTGAATAGGAATGGCGAAATAGGGCAACCCTGACGAACGCCCCTGGTTTCGAACAATTTGCTTAGCCCACCGTGAACCCTAACACTACCCGAAGTAGGCAATAGGTTTACGTACTTCTGCAGCATTCCATTGCGAAGCAGTGCACTCATTAGGGATTCAAGGTTCATTAAAATACTCTGTCCAGTAATCAAGTTGCTGTTCTTTACTGTGGATAGTCTACCTACTTTTATCGGAAATGGTCTCACTGACCGGTATGCGAGAACTTCCGGTGCTACGTATCAGATGAAACAGTCTTTGGCTATTCCCTGATGCAGAGGCAATCTTCATTTCACTAGCTATTATGGCATACCAGTTTTCGTGACCTTTCTTAAGGCTTTCCCTGAGCTGACGTTGCAGGCACCACCGATCAGTATTCTGCTCCTGGAACATAGTGATTTTTCCATCAGGATTACTGACTCCGGAGAGATCCAGTGTCTTCGATGAACCTCCGGCTCAGCTCCACAGGAAAAAGCTACCAAGTGCATTTCTCGTCTGATTTGGTTCCACTGTTGATCTACTCCACCACCACGCGGTGACCCTAGCTCCTGGTCAAGCTTTTCCTCATAATGAGCTAACTGAGGAGGCGACTTTTGACGATAACCGATGAGTCGAAGCGTGAAGTGCATCCGAACTAGTGCGTGTTCAGACTCAACGCAGGTAGGATTTGTAATTTAGCACAGAGCCACACCAACGATAGCTTACAGTTATATGGTCAATTTGGGTCAGCCATGCACAAAAGTGCATATTTAATGGTTATAAAAACTGAACTGAACTGAACTAGAAGATTATGTTGCTGTCCAACGAGAGTTTGTCGGGACTTCGTGTTATATAGGAACAATGGGTGATCTGCACAAGACTGAAATAGTCGATCATCGTTTTCTTTCCTCGGGATGGGAAGAGCGAAGCGCCTCGCTAGACGGGCTTCGGATGCACTCCCTTTTCCAAGCTGCGCGTTAGAATTACCTGCCAATATTGTTACGCCGGAACTACGGCTCAATCGTATGATCTCAGTGAGTTTGTTGCAAAATTATTTGTGGATTAGTACTACAGTTGGTTGGTGCATATGCCGGTATGATGAACAAGCACCTTTTGGCGTTGCTGCCCTTCCGAACACGAACTGAACCCTGGAGCCTCATGGTGCACAGAAGACTGTTGACAGGTATCCAACCTATCAGTGATGCCTCAGCTGTACCAATTAAAACGATTCCCACACCTCGCTGACCAAAAGAGCGGAGTTCATCGTCCCTTTATGTCCGAAGGAAGTACCTCGAGGACAGATTCGATGCACTTGGATGGCTTGTACTATTAGGATCGTGAAACCGCGTCTCTTTTACTTTTACTTTTGGTCGATTACCTCCTGCGGGAGGATAAGTCGGCTTCTTGGATATCTCTAATGATGACGGCCCATGCATGAAGATTGGTAGCAAGGCTGACGCAGTGTGAAAACCCGTTTTGGTTCCAGTTACGAATTCCATATACGGATTGGAGGCCCAGTAATTTTAAATCCACCTTGATTGTACTGATCCAGGTCTTTAGTTGATTACCGAGTCGGCAACACCATCCACGGTACGGTGCAGGAGCTACAGCCTGTCACGAGAGTTGAGTGTCGGGCTTTCGGAACCGATGGCTAAACTACTGAAGGCGCCGGCGTTGTAGCAATTTTGAAAGCTTGCCAATGTTCAAGCGGTACCGACGAACCTTATAATTGGAAATCCGATCTCTTCAGCTTACTTTCAAGATGCGGCGTAGGCACCAATGATCAAAGACTTCGAGCTTTTTTGTATCTTGTAGGCCAGGTTTCACAACCATAAGTGAAGATAGGGCGAATGGAAGCTTGATAAACCCGAAGCTTAGTATTTAGCCTTATTTTGCAACGATTCCAGAACGGTTTGAGGAGTTTCAGGATGGTCCTTGTAGCTCCGTCTACATGGTGTTGGATTTCATCCTTAGCTTGGCCGTTTGGTCTTATCGCAGAGCCAAGATACTTGAAAACTTCGGTTGATTTGACAAGCTACTCGTTAATCGAGAGGGGTTGGGTTATGGCAGAAGTTTCAGTAGAAAATATCTTCATTTTCGACGTGTTGATCTCTAGCCCAATGGACTGGACAAACTGAGTTATACGGTTGACAACATGCTGGAGGTTGTCCATGGCGTCTCCAAGTATAACGATGTCGTCCGTAAACTCGAGGTCAGCAACCCATGGACCTGGGCCAAGCTGCACTCTAGAGTAGTCGACGAGTGCTGGTCGCATTATCCAATCTACGGTGTAATTGAATAACACCGGCGTTAGGGGACAACCTTGCCTAACTTCAGAGCTTAGGGTAAACTCAGTTGATTCTTCTCCACGTGTGCCCGGGTTCCTGAGTAGTAGGACTTTAAAAGCCTGGTGAACTTCACAGGCATCCCGTCAGACCGCAATATGCACCACAAGGATTCTCTATCTACAGAGTCAAAAGAAGCGCAGAAGGCAATGAAACATGCCGTGGTAGGCTGTNCGGTATTCCAGAATCCTACGGAAAGCGAAGATTTGTTCAACACAACGTCTTCCGGGACGAAAACCCCCTTGGTTCGGGTGAGTGCGGGTATCTCTGACGACTGCGAAGCGATTACGCAGTATCACTGCAAACAATTTGACCACAATACCAATGAGGTTAATACCCCTGCAATTTTCGCACACACAGCATACACAACAGACATCAATTTCCAAAGAGCTCATTGCACGAGCAAGACACGCTTGTGGACCCACCTGGATCTGAGTCCTCATGTTGAGGTTGAGGTTGCTGAGGCTTCAGAATATCTAAATTATTTAGTTATTTGGCAGACTTTTGGCGAATGGCAAACAAGTTGTGCGATGGGATCTTATGGGTCGAAAGAAAAGGTAAATAACGAGGGCTGAATATAGAAGACAACTAGTTAATTAAAGGTTGGAACGATGAGCACTGGCCCACTTATCACTACCCACCTCGCTCGATGTAATGGGCAGCGCGGTCCTGATCATCGTGCGCGACGGTCAATGCAGTATGGAATTATTTTTTGTGTATTGATTGGAGCTTTATGGACGGGTACTGCCATGTGGTCCAGCCACTAAGCAGGAGAACGATTAGGGTTATCGTCCAAAGCCTTTAGTTCTAATAAAACTGTGGCCGCAAGGCAGCAGGTAAATCGAAGTAGAGGCTCTTTTACTTGAAGCGATTAATCCTCTACCATTTTGCCGACTGAGACGCTAACTCGACCCTTCGACCTGGAGGATCAGGAGAATGAACTTTGTGTGACCTCTACCCTCTGACATTCCAGGCATGATAAGATCTAGCTTGGTAAAAGTCATTCTGCTTAGCTCGTTGGGTCAGAGAGGTGCACAAGCCATCACACTACATCAATGTACAGTTTTATCGTGATGGCCCTTCCCCAATAAGAATGAAATTTAGGGTAGAACTAATCTAATAATATACAGACATGTTACTCCTCAAAGATGCGAAACGCATGTGAATTATGGCTACGGCATAACTAGCATAACACAGAAAAGCTCGTAATTTACTCTCCTCAGAAGTTTAATGTCGTCCACATGTACTAAATCAAAGTCTAATACCTCAAAGAAATTTTAAGACACCGTCAGTGAACACAGATGAGGTAGTTTCGATCAATGGCAAGGCTGAAAAGGAAAAAAGAGGATGGCCTACATGAGTCACTTTGANGTCAGGTGAAAAACCGTTTTAAACAAGAAATCCACCTTTGGTGCTGACAAACGTAGAAAATCTATAATAAATAAGACGAGCCAGCTACAGATTATGGCGGAATCTACTAAGGCGAAAAGCCCTTCCAAATCAAGAGAACCATAGGCAGTAGGTCAAATGGAAGGATAATTGTTCTTCAAGATCCAGTGAAGCAAGACGCGATTTGCCTAACCTAATCCAAGTAACATAAGTATAACATTTCTTTCACATAAGCTGAAGAAAAAGTATTGCTCAAACACGATAATGATGAAAAAAGAATGAAAGAAAATGAGCGAAGATAGTTATTACGTATGCACATACATACGTATATCTCGTCGTGACTAAACTTTCTTACTCTAAGTCCGGCAGATATAGCCTAACAGTTCCGATCGGAATGGCATCGGAATCGAACTTGAAGAACTTTGTCAATCGGTGCATCACGAAACTGAACTGTTTTAGTGGGTAAAAACAAAAGACCTACAGGTAAAATGAGCAGTGATCGGATCTCTAGAAATGAAAGAGGAAATTCAAATGAGATAATAAACAGAAAAGACTATCATAAAATGATGTGTTACCCCATTTTACTCCATTTTATATTAACCCATCATTTTTTATATTTTATCTAATTCACTAAAATTGTTAGGAGACTAAATTTTTCATTCGGTCAAACTCCTCTCCTTGATTGCTCTGCATCATTCGAATATAAAAATACAATACCACAATAGATCAAATTCAGACTGGCAAAGAGGACTGTACTTACTACATGATGGATAGATTTCGAGATGTCGGGCGGCGAGTTTAATCACGCAACGTCTATCAAAACATTTCATCAAAAGAACTATCCCACTGTTCAGCAATTAGGGAGAATTAAAAATTATCGGGAATTCTCCACAGAACCATTGAAAAGTCCCAATGCCTTTACTTTGTGATGGCTTACAATACTGTTACGATCACTGCTTTCCGAAATCGCGGTAAAAAAGTGAAACAAATAAAAACTGACAATAACGATGGTAAACTTACGTTCCGGTCATCAACGAAAAGTAGATAGTTTTCCCCATTGAACCAAGTTTGATCGGGCGGAAGAGGAACGCATATAATTCCATTTTGTCCACTTTGAGTAAATTTGATTCTCGATAAACCATCCACTTCACCGCATCAATCTGGTATGGCCTAAGTGTAGCACTAATTTTTCTATTCTGAACAGAGAGCTCTGTACGATCCCATAAGTTACGCGTTGCTTCATGATAGCTTTGCGCACAATCATACAAGAGTCGAATAAGAGAAATGAATTCTGATTGAGTTTCCATATGATTTCCATACACCAGATCTTTTAATTGCTGCGGAAAGTGTGCATCTCCGTCAAGAAGCTGCAGTGTTAAGAAATCCAAGGCCTTTTCATATTGCTGAAGTGGAACTGGTCTCGTCGGTAGTTCGGTGTTCATAACAAGACAACGAGACTTTAAGCAAACATCTAAATGCATAGCGTCATTTGAAATACGATAGTGTACATCAAATTGTGCACAAGAAGAGGCAAAAAGTAGGGGAGTAAGACTTTCAGCCTCAGAGATAATGAACTCGTGCGCAATATCTTTCAACTCCAGAAGAATAAGCAGAGATTTTCTATCAAAAAACAAATGAAGCTTGCCACCACAGTTAATGGTTGCCAAAGTAGACGGTCCGATAGGAAAACTTAGTGTTTGTAGAAGGTATTCTTGTGGAGCAGGGCCTGCTGACAAGCTAACAGAGTGTGGATATTGTGCGGTCAGCTCTCGTTGTTCTCGAGTCAGCGCTGTTCGTTTTCTCCTCTTTCTCGGGGCTTTTTCGGAATCTTGGTGGGTGGCAAAATCTATTTTTCCGTTATATGTAAAACAAATTTCCCTTCGAACACTTGGAGGTAGAAAACTCGGAAGAGCTTTGGTTCTCATTGTTTAATAATATTCATATACAAGTAGGGAAAACTGCGAAGGCAGCAATAGCACTGACAGTACAGCTAAAAAAAGAAGCACCAAATGAAAGATAACTACACTCATCGTCCATGAAAAGTGCATTAGTTAGCAGTGATGAATTTCTAGACACACCATTCCATATCAATTGTTACGAATAGCTAAAAACTAAACATCCTCACGGAATGTGACAACTGTGAACATTAAAAAAATACAAAATACGTAGTGACTGGAAATTAGCCGCTGTGATGATGCGATATATATATATATATATATATATATATATATATATATAC